GGTCGAGGTCCGTCCACCTCCTTGGAATCAAAGTCCTGGAGAAAACTTCACTCGAACCCGTCTCACCTTTTTCGACCGGGGTTGGTTTCGAGTAACCAATTATTACAGGAATGGAAAAAAAAAATATATATATATGTATTGATGAAATATTGGTTTCAACTGGGGTTGGTTTCAGGGAAAAAATATGGAAAACACCCTGATATGTGATGGAAAATGGATGAACATTTGATGAGCATGATTTCCCGCAATGTTCCCGACTCAACCAAACCAGTGATTTTTTGGGTGATAGCAAGTAAACACATGTTCAACCATCAGAAATTGTGTTTTAACCGCCAGAAATCTTGGTGGTGGAAGCACAATGGTGGATTTACGAACTTAATGGTGAAAAATGGAATATACTGGGAATATAATTGGATAGTTGCTGGATACTTGTCCCCTCTGCTAATGTTTGCTAAGCTGTAGATATGGAAAGCAATGGTTTCCCCGCGTAGCATGATCTACTTTAATGGTGGGTGTTCCATATCTGTCTATGGCAAAATTGACTGGGAGCGCATGGAACACTATTTGACATGCATGAACAAATAAACGCGAATCACGCAAATGGGATATGACACCGATAATAAGCCAAATCTTCAATTTGCCAGTTGACATAAACGCAGTACTGGGATTCATTGCAACAGCGACGACGCGAACTGTGTGTATGCCTTCGTTTCTTGAGCTGCATCTCCGAGTTTACCGTCTCTCTATACATATTTTACATATTATATACATATACATATCAATACAATGTTGTGCCCCCAATATATATATATGTATATGCATACCAGAAACCTACGTACTTATTTCGATTAGTTATAAACCAACTGAGCTAAACATAGTGACACCACCTTGTACATCTACATAATTGATATATGCATACATATGTATATATATATATATATACAATATAAAATATATAATATACAATATATATAATATATATAATATAAAATAAAGAAATATAATATAATATATATATAATATTATATATAATAGATTTATTATATAAAATATAAATCATATATATAATATAATATATATATATATATACATACAATATATAATAAGGTATTTACAAGATTAATACTATATAATAAAAAAGTAATTAATAAAATAAATAATATATGATAAAACTAATATAACTAAAATTACAAATATATAATAAATATAATATATATAATTTAAATAAAAATATAATATAAATAATATATAACATAAAATATATATAAAATAAAATATATATAATAGATAATAGATAAGAGAAAATATATAATAAATAATATATAATATATAAAACATATTAGAAAATATACAA